TAAAATTATTTATTTATCTAAGATGCACCTACACTGAATTTATCTGAAAAATAAAAAAGTCGATATTAAGAAAAAAATTGTAAATGGAAGATTATAAGAGAGGGTTTCACGTGCCAGCAAAAGTTACTGGCGTGCCATGTTTGGCACGCGTGCCAGGGGTTGCCCACCCCTGGTCTAAGTCATTATCTGCACTGAGATAGGTCCCTTTCAGACACCATGACCCAAGCTCAGCTCCTCGTCACCCCTGGCCAGCCTGCTGGGTAAGAGGCCTGCTGAGGCCCAACACTGTGAGAGGCACCAGGGGTGGGGGAGAGAGAAGTCAATGCAACCCCTGCCCTCCAGGACACAGTCAGTGGGTCAGACAGGACAGTGAAGCCCAAGGGCAGGGTGAGTAGAGGCAAGAGGGTGGAGACACAGTGGGAGCAGGAGGGAAAGGGGGTGTGGGGGGCTCATGCTGCATCTCCCCCTGTCTCCAGCTCTTTCGACGTGTGGCATCGGCTCTGCCTGGAATGGAGAATGTTCAGGAGAAAAGTAAAGAAGGGAGTATCCTTTTTCCTTGACGAGTGATTGAGAGATGTGCTGGCAAAGCCATTTACCCATCTAGTACTCTTAGTACTTCAGAGCAGTGGATGAGCACGGGCCTTGCCTCCAGCCCAGCTTCCCGCTGATGGATATGGTGTGGGGCTCTGAGCAGGGACGAGGCTGAGCTCCAAGGTCTTTAAGACCCATCCAGCTCGAACCACCTAAGCTGTCACCTCCCAAACAGGGTGGGATACCAGAGGGATGTGCATGGAGTGGTGGGAGGGGCGGGGAGTGAGACATAGTGATGCTGCCCTTATTTACAGTGGACACCGATCTGCTTTTCACGGTGTAAGTAGAGTCGTCACTGCAGGGAGGGTTTCTCTCTTTACACTCACATATGATTTCAACACGGTTCAGCCTACTCCACACGAGGCAGCCCCCCAACAGATGCCTCCTCCCATGTCCTGCCTGCTTCCTCGGCCCAGCCCTGCACAGCCCCCGCGCTCCCCACTGCTCCCAGGACAGGGTCACATGCCATTCACATGGTCCACCCCACACCACAGGCAACACCAGAAGCTGGCATTGAGGTTCAGAGAGATTGTCTGATTTGCCCAATTAGGAAGAAAGTAGTTATTTATTATCTACTAGAGGCCAAGTGCACGAAATTCGTGCACAAGTAGGGTCCCTAGTGGCTGCTGGCTGGGGCCTCCCTTCGTTCCGCGCTGCTTCCTGGTGGTCAGCGCACGTCATAGTGAGCGATCGAACTCCCGGTCGGTCAAACTCCCAAGGGGACACTTTGCATATTAGGCTTTTATATATAGATAGATGTACTTGTTTATTTATACTCTGTTATGTTATGAAAAATGTGTATATAGATATGTTGATATAGATATAGATATAGATATATTGATATAGATACACACACACACACACAAACAAGATAAAAATGTATATGTGTACACACACACACACACACACGAGAAAAGCAGGGCACAGGTAAAATAAAGGTAGGAAAACAAGGACAAGAAAGATGATGTCATACTCAAAATATATGCCATGGCTGAATGGCCAACAAATGGCAAGGAGGGAAACTGATCTTTAGAAGAAGCGTGGCTTTTTCTAGTACAGTCATCCCTCTGTATCTGCAGGGGATTGGTTCTAGGATCCGCCCCCCACCTCCTGGATATCAAGTTCCACGATTGCCCAAGTCCCTTCAATAACATGGCGTAGTATTTGCATATAACCTATGCACATCCTCCCATATACTTTACATCATCTCCAAACTACTTATAATATCTAATGCAATGTAAATGCTATGTGAATAGTTGTTAACTGTATTGCTTAGGAAACAGTGACAAAAAATAATGTACATGTTCAGTTCAGATGCAAGCGTTGTAGTCTTAACTGCACACGTCAGCAACATTTTTTTCCAAATATTTTTTATTCACAATTAGTTGAATCCACCCACAGATGCAGAGCCTGTGGGCACCCAGGGCCGACTGTGCTTAAAGCCAGAAGAATCTCTCCCATAGTCCTTAAACAGGGGCCACGAAAACATCCCTAGGATGCCAGCAACAGCTCCCATAGCAGGCCTTATACCTCCCACCTCTCCCCCCGACCCCAGTGCAGTCCCACAGCCGGCCCCGGCCCCGGAGCCTGGCCAGGAAGAGTCATTCTGTGTGGTGTGGAGGGCCTGGTGCTCAGCTGTGATCGGCCTGGCATGATAGTTTCCAACCTGCTGAGGGCAGAGGGAACAGCCCGTCTCTGCAGTTTGAACCCACTGCTCCGGTAGTTCTGATGGCTGCTTGTCCAGCCTACAGTCCCTGGGCACCGATTAAAGGCTGGAGAGGGGGCTGTGCTCAGGCCCTTCCGCAGGGACGTGGCATCCTCGAGTCTAAGTGACACACACTGACTGGAGAGCTTGAGGGGTCCATGCTGCTGTGGCAGGCTAGGGCGAGGCCCAAGGAGCCCTGTGCTTCCAGATGTGGGATCCAGGCTCTCTACCTCCAGTGCACTTTGGGGTGGGCTAGGAAGGGTGGGAGCTGGGGCCCTGCAGCCTCCCTCCCCAGGCCAAGCAGAGTCAGGTGTTTGTGGAGGGAAAGAGGGGTTGGGCAGGGCGGCCGAGGGGTGCACAGGGAGGGCGTGAGGCCGGGTGGCAGCTTCTCTGTGAGAGTCCTCTTCCTTAGCCCAGCCCCCTGCAGTGATCGACATCAAGCTGGACAAACCCCAGGAGCCCCCAGCCAGCGAAGGCGGCTGCTCCTGCTAATGCAGCCTGACCTGAAGGCTTCCTCCGACACTACTCGCTTGTTGTGTTGCTTCCTATTGGTTAGCTTCCTAAGGGGGGGTGGGAAACGAGCTTATCCAGATGGGAGGATTTTTCTTTTCTCTCTGTCTCTAGGAGTAGGTTGGGGTGGGGAGGGAGGCTGGGCATCAGGGATCACGTCACTCTTAACAGCTGTTACTCAAACAACTATTTTTTGGTTTGGTTGTAATATATTGTACTTTATTAAGATTGCCAAAAACGGTTAAAATTTAAAAAAAAAAATTTAAATCATGTGTATACAACTTTTTGCCAGATAAAAATGTAGTCATTTTTATTTGAAAGATGTGCTTTTTTGTTTTTGTATATTTGTAAACTTACAGAGAACCTTTTCCACACACCTCCTCCTTCCTGTCCTCTTTCAACTGTTCATTGACTCTGCCCTCCTCCCACCCCCCAGCCCAATAAACTAAAACATTAACTGAGCAACCTAATTAGGCTCCAATCCTGGGCCATCCTGCCCTGACCAACCAGGTCCCACCAAACAGGTCCTGCTAGTACCTGGTTAAATCAAACACTGAACAAAACAGCTTCTGAGGAGGCAGCTCTGACCGTGTCCTCCTTCCGTGGCCAGAATGGACACCAGGCATGGCCCGAGCTGACATTAAGGTCTCCTGGACATCAGGGAGCCCGGCCCCAGGCCCCACTGCAGTTATGTCTGTTCTCCCTTCCCCTCCGAGAAGCCTTGAAGGCGGGCAGGGCAGGGCACTTGCCACAGGCACCCTGGTGTTCTCTGTGGCCCGCTCAGTGATTGGCAGAGCAAGAGGTCCCTGGAAGGAAGGACGGGGTGCTGTTGGCAACTGTGGGTCATGTTGATGTGTGGTTGGTTCGTAGACTTGGGGCACTGTGCGTACTTCTGAAAATGTTTTAACCACCCGGCCCAGCGTTCAGCACACATATCTGGGCTGAATCTAAGGGAAGAGCAAAGAGACTCATTGTGTGGCCTCAGGGAGTGTTGTCTGCAGAACCACCACCTTGAAGACCCATGTCCTCAGGTCTCGGTTGCTAATACTGTTGAGTGCTGTTTTGGAAAAGCTGGCTTCTTGATGTGCTTTGCCCCACTGGCGCGGTGCAGTTGGGTGCGCAATCTTTTGCTGATGTCGTTGCCTGAGAGTAGGGCTGCGGTGGGGTCTCTCTGCCCAGACCTTTGCCATTTTTGACTCATTTCTGCGAAGGGCTAAATCTGAGCACCTGTAAAATCTCTGAAGAGAACTCTCTCTTCTCACCAAGTGATGTAACCCACTTGGCCTGTATTCCAAATAGACACAGACTCACCAACCCCGAGCCTGAGAAAAAGCCAGGCAGTGAACAGCAGCTCTGGCCAAAAAACTAAACCCCGCCCTCCAAGCTGGCGCTGACTTCCTCCAGGCTGCTGTTGGGCATGTCCTAGGTGAGCTAAAGGGCCATCTGGGGTGTGAATTCCTCCACAAAGCAGTGCTCAAACAAGTGATTGCAATGAATCTTGGAACTTCTCAGAAACGAATCCAAAATGGCAGCCAGTAAGGGCAGCGAAACCTGGCAGGACCCACTGCTGTTTGTCCAGTGGGCCTGCCACACATGGTCAGCTAAGGAGATGGAGCGTCAGAGCTGGTCTTTAAAGAGAAATTTATCTTCAGGTGGAGAAAAGAAGGAGCAGAATTCCCGCTGAGCTCCTCTTCCTAAAGGCAAAGACCAACGTACGAACGTAATTCCAGTGTCGTGTGTTTAGTTTTTATATGTGTGTACATAATTATATATAGAGATAGACTTGTGTATACACCTTCCACACACATTCCCACAGAGGTACATGTGCTCAGCGTATACTCTTGTTCTTCCTGCTCTCAAGTTGGAACTTGCGTTGTGATAACAGTTTTGAAAATTCAAAAGTACTGCGACGTGTTGAAATAAGAAGTACTTAATATTGTCAAAAAACTTGTGATTGTCTTGCCATCAATAAAATAATTACATAGATGTGTTAAACTACAGGCAAAAATAGCCCACGGGAATATGTGCACCATTTCTCCTTCTATGTACTCATATGCACGGGTGTGCATGCCTCGTGGGCCAGCACCCCCCACCATGGCACACCCCCAAGTGGTGCTCGTTGGAAGAGTGCTTACTTACCTCGTGAGAATTTACAAGAGCCCATGTTACAGCATCCGGCCTGGGTGGCAGCGCGGGCCATTGCTTGTGGCCTCTGGGACAGCCCCCATTTGCAGGGATCTGCCCTGGGTCTCAGTGGAATGAATGTACGGTGGATTTTTATTTTCTTGGTACTAAAGAGTAGCTTTTCTTAAAACATTCCTGTAAAGAAAAAAAGTAGAAACTCAGTTCCTTTCTCATGTGCACACGTGTCCAAGGCACCATGAACTCTGTTCCATCACAGCCTACACACAGGTGGGCAACGGATGGAGCAGGAAGAGACACAGTAAAGACTGTTTGCTTTTTTTTTTTTTAATATATTTTATTGATTTTTTTACAGAGAAGAAGGGAGAGGGATAGAGAGCCAGAAACATCGATGAGAGAGATCGATCAGCTGCCTCCTGCACGCCCCCCACTGGGGATATGCCCGCAACCAAGGTACATGCCCTTGACCGGAATCAAACCCTGGACCCCCGAGTCCGCAGGCCGACGCTCTATCCACTGAGCCAAACCGGTTCGGCAAGACTGTTTGCTTTGACTTGGCCTCCGTGAGCCCCGCCTTTCGTAGCAGGTACACAACACCCCCTCTTTGGAGTCCAGGCTCTCCCCAGCCCTGTGGGCCTCTGAAGGTGAGGGCCGTTGCCCCATCTTGTCCTCCCATCTCGGTGGTGCCATTCCATTCCTGGACCCTCCTTTCTCCCCGCATTTCCTGGCGCCTGTTAGGGCAGCCAGAGCTCTTGCACAGAAGTGCACTGTTCTTTGGCCCTCATGTTCAGCAGGCAGGTGCCATCACTGTCCTCTTGCTTAGAGGTAGGATCTCAACTCAGAGAGTTCAGGCTCAATAATGAAATGACCAGGTTAGGTCTTGGCATCGCCTCGGCATCCCCAGTGACTGACATCTTTGCTGAATCCTGATGGGCTAGCACACGGCAAAGTGGAGGACTCCTTTTGGGAAGTGATCTCAGTTTACCAGTAGTTCAGTCCCTCTCCTCCAAGACTAGCCCTGACTTGGGAGATGAGTGGAGTCATCTTCTTTAGGCCCTCTTTTTTTTTTTTTCCTTTGGGGATGTCAAAGAAAAGCTGTCGGTAAAGTTCCTGTTTCGCAGGCACTGAAAAATTGAGCCTAAGACGGAAAAAGCAGATGCATATTGAAATGTGCACGCGACAGGATTAAAGTGACGGGAGCATCTTGAGGGCTAGAGGTGCCGTTGTGTCGTCCAGGGTGAGCTCGCTTGCTGACTGATATAAGCAAGTTTCTTTTGCCAGAGGCCCCCCTGCTCTCACGGTCACCACTCTCTTCCCATCACTGCTCCCTTCCTGTCAGCATCCTCCAAAATTCTGTAATGTTCCCCGGTCCGAGGAGCGGTGGCCAGGTCAGTTCAAGTGTCTCAGGCAACAGAAACAAGGCTTGCAATGGTGGTAGCTAAGGATGCAGACACATCTTGGTGGCGGCCAGTGCTGGAGCCCTGCCCTCAGGGACCGGATGTGACAACTATGACACCGCTGGCTTCGGTGTCCTGCAGGCAGAGTAGCCTCATTCCTTCACACAGCGAAGGCAGGTGAGGACATCAGAATGTGAGAACAGGCAGCTGAGGACTGTGAGGCGTGTCCGAGCCGCATGAGGGGCAGCTAAGTAGAAGTCTGTCTGTCTGCATCAACCAAGCCGGGTTGTATGCTCACTAGTTTCCAAACTACCTCTTCCCCAAGAATGTGAGGCATTGTCACCCGACTACAGCGGTGTGAGGCAGAGGTCTCAAACCCTTCCTGTTTCACAAGCAGGAAAACCAAGATAGAGAAGGGTGACTTCCTTAGTCACCCCGCAGGTCGGAAGCAGTCAGAACCAAGATGTTTCCATCTCCATCCGTCGCCCACCTGTGTGTACAAACGTGACTGTGTACCTGCACCCAAAGGGCTGCTGTGCATGGATGTTCATCAGACTCTCTACTCTGGTTGGGACGTGAGATTCTCTCCAGTATCTGAGTGAGCCAGGAAAGAATCCACGTACATTTCAGGCTCCTCCATTGCAAAGAAGGGCCAGTCCCCAGCTCCACTCTGATGGTTGTGGGCATCCACAGACTAGGGCACCCTTTGAATTTTTGTTTGAACTGTTTAGGTGTTCCAAAACCTTGGGCTCTCAATGTGTGAACTCCCTGGATGCCAGCCCCGTGTGGGTGATGCTGGCGGCAGTGGGGTTTGGGTGCTTCCTTCCAGCGGGAAGTGTCTATACATCAAAAGCCAGTTCCTATCACGGTGTGCATCAACTCCCCCTCACTTTCCTCACCCACCCCAGGAAGGGACTAGCCATGAGGAACATGGAGGGTGGCATTTCCATCTCTTGCTGGCTCAGCAGGCATAAACGGCCACATTGACTTTACATAAAACTGTGTAAAATGTGGAAGATTCAGCATGTTGATCAAACAATAAACTGTCCTAATTCTCAACACAAAGCTTCTTGTCTAATATTTCTAAGTGGTGCAATCATATATGGGGCAGGGGAGGGGCTCTGGGGAGGGTGTGGTGTGTGAAAAAGTATTTCTTCAAGTGCATGCTCCACAAAGACCCTCCTATATGTCTGTCCACTACCCAAAGCCCTCTGCTTCTTCCTTCCTCCTCCTCACCTGGGCTCTCCACCAGCTCAGAGGGGGCAAAGGTAGGACACACTCACTTCCATAACCTCCATTCTGCCTAAAGGCTGATGGACAGGGAAACTCCAGGCAGAACTGAGACTCAGTGTATGTGTCTTCTGTCTTCCCTGCTCCCCACTGGCCAGGGCTAGGGGTGATCAAGGGTGGGTGCAGGGACTGGATCTCTCTTCCTTCTGATGATTTCCAGGAAGCCATGTAGAGGCAAGAATTTAAGGTGAACCATAATCAACCTTTCAGGGGACACCAAGGTGACACATACCACCTCCGACTTCACCCCACACCTATTACAGGACATTTCTGAGGCCCTTCAGGTCTCAGTCATCTCCAGACTAAAAGACGCCCTGAGGCCAGGAGAGTGGTGGGATCCATCCAAAATCAACGTGAAGGCCGTGGTCAGGCATGGAATTGCCCTGACTTGCAAAGGCCAGGAATCCTGAGGCAAGTTCACCTGGTCTCACTCTTCCAAGTTCAACCTCACCCATTATCTTTCCCCTTTCAAGGTTCTGAAGTTTCTGGAACAACCTCCCATCTGCCACCTTGAAGAAACCATCTCTGATGAGGAGGAACAGGAAATAGATGTCCCTGCCCAATTAGCCTACCTTGTACTGGCTGCCAGATGTAAAATGTGAGGCAGAGGTTTGGGGGGATGTGCACATGCTGGTACGGACTTGATGAAAGGCAGAGTAATGCTGTTCCAAGAATTTGAGGAGAACCGTAAATTCCCCAAGATTACAGTATTCCCGGCAACATGACTTAAGACAGCAAAGGGGGTGCATAATCTGAGAATGGCGTTACACGCAGGACTATCCAAGAACTTTGATAATCCTAATGCTAACCTCTAATTTTTTAAAAGAAGCCTAGCTCAGTTGAAACAAAATGATCTTAAGTCAACACAAGTACCTCAGGATAACAGATCCACAGGGAGACGCTGGAACCCCCGGAGGCACTGAGACACAACCCACAGGAAGAAGTGGCAGCCCTATTGGTGCTGTACGACTGGCCACGCGGTGCTCAGGGACCAGCGGAGCCGGTGGAGGTCACGCTGATGAGATGAGGGAAGAGAGGGGAGCCACACAGAAAGGGCGAGTTGTTTTTCACATCAGAATGGGACTGTATACCTCGAGAAGCAGGAATTGTGCTGCAGTCACTATTCCTAGAGCCTGGCACAGGGCTTGGTGTTTTCTGAATGAACGAATGCCATACAAGGCTCTTGTGAGCAATCAACAATTATAGTTGGAAAGAGAGTAGGATTACAATTACTTTCCTGCACAAAAGCCAGGGTAGTAATCGACTTTAACTATGTGAAGGGTTGAAAGAAGAGCTAAGCATCTTAATATGTTTCAGGTGAGAATGGGCATAAACCAATTGAAGCTTTGACAATTCTGTACTAAACTCGAGTCTTTTTTTAAAAAGCAGCAACACAACATTCTGGCTGAAATGATCTCAAGACAATGGACCATGGCCAAGTGCCTCACGCTCAGCAGGACCACTGGACTCCCAGGAGGCACTGGGACAGAGGCTGTGGGAGAAGGTAAGTGGAAAACCCTAGAGACTCCCCAACAGCATCTGTTGTTGATCAGGAGCCAGGACCCCAGGAAACTGGCAGGCACATGGTATGGAAGGGACCTGGAACCTAATTCCAAGGCCCCAGAACCCTTGCAAAAGGGGCCGGAAAGCAGGGCTAGAATAGAGAACAGCGGGACCGGGGCCTAGACCCCTCGGTCTGTCTGCACGTGGGCTCTGTGCCCCTGGAGGATTCCGTTCCGGAAGCAGGCAGTGATTACCAATGGAGTGCCCAGGGCTTATTCATCGCAGCTGCCCCTGCACAGTGGCTCCTCACTGTGGCCTGCACCTCTCCCGTAGCAGGGAACAGTCATTCCCATGAGGTGGCTGCTGCCCTGGAGGCAGGTGTCAGTACCTCCCCACCCTCCCCACACACACACACAGCAGCTCAGGCACTGCTGTTCCCAAGAAGGTGTTTCAAGCCACAAGTGTCTCATCTATGATGCAGAGTCGTGCCTAGTCTGTCAGTCCCCGTGACCTGACATTCCTCTTGCCACTCTGGCCACACCTGCCTCCCATCTCATGATGGAATAGGTCTACTTTGGCTGAAAGGCTTCACGGCCAGGAGGATACCACCAAGGTAAAGAACACATTTGTCCTCCCACCAAAACCCCTTCCCAACTCCCATGGACCAGTCTCCATGACCTCATCCTGGCCCAACCCACGAGCATGAAAAGACCGTAGTGGAGAAGGAAGCAGAAGAGGGCCCAGGAGGGGTTCTGTACCCCGCTTCTTACTTCATCCTGTTAGAAAAACTAAGCAGGGCTTGTGACCCAAAGGACTTAAAAAACAAACATGCTAAAGGCACACTCCCGGCCAGATCACTCTGAGGATGCTCCCAGGGGCCCCTGTGCCTGTAAAGGGCATGTTAAGTATGTCGATTCCTGAGGCCACACCAGATCTGCTATCACACTGAATGTTTCGGAGCAGGGTCCTCAGGTCGGCTGTTCAACATGCATCACAGAGAATTCTCATGCACACACATCAGAGAATCACTGAGGCAGAACTTGCCTTCTTCAGACCTTTTTTAGGCCTTGAGTAAAATTCACCATTGCTCCCCTTCTGCAATCAGTTTTGGGGTTATGCTTCCTCCAATAAAGTAAAACACTTTATTAACCAGAGGGAATAAAC